CCAGTATTCGTAGAATATCTCATACAACGGGAATTCCTCAAACCAACGTATGGAGAATTCTACACTATGATGGACTTTATCCCTATCATTTACACAAAGTCCAGCATTTACTTCCTCAAGATTTACAAAATCGAGTACGGTATTGTCAGTGGTTACAAAATAATTTAGAAGTTATTTCACACATACTTTTTACGGATGAGGCCCAGTTTACAAAGAATACCATTCCATGTAGTTCTCACGTCATCAACAACACACGTAGTTCTTGACGGATCAAAACACGAATCCACACGAAACAATCGTTGTTAATCATCAATATCGTTTTCCCGTCAACGTGTGGTGCATCTTGTTAAATAATCATCTTGTTGGGCCTCATTTTTTGAAAGACGTCTTAGTGCAGAAACTTACCTTCACTTTTTGGAAGAAGAATTGCCGAATTAGATAGAAGATATTCCATAGAAGCTCGTCGTGGCATATGGTTCCAGCAGGATGGGGCACCATCAAATTTTGGGAGACAACTCGGTCACCTGACTTGTCCTCTCTAGATTTTTTTCTGTGGGATTGCCTCAAAATCTCGTGTGTATAGTAATAATCGTAAACCAGATACACGCGAAGAGTTCATTGTGGCTGTTGTCATTTTGAATAGCTGCTATAATTTTATGTTAATTAGTAAATTAATAAATTTTCTTTTATCATGTTTATCTTTTTTTTGTTTTTATATGGTACAAGTTTGTCGGTCGAGTCACGGAACACCCTATATAAAAGGACAGTAGGGCTCAAGCATAATTAAACATAAAGTGATGTATGTACTGAATAAGTTTAAGAATGGAAAAATGTCAGGTTCAGACCAACTGCAAACGGAAATTCTTACACTCATAGAGGACGACCAGATTCATTTTCCGGTAGAAGAAAAAATCCCCACTGACTAACTTTGGTTACCATTCTAAAAGAGAAGAGTGCTAAATATTGCTTCCATTATGGTATGATAAGACTAATGTCTCACACATTAAAAATCTTGTTGAAAGCGATCAAGATAAAATCAAGCTCCCTAAATTTCGAAGCAATTAATNTCCTGGTGGCTCCTTTTCCTCATTAAAATATATCATTTAAGTAATTTAAGTAATAAGTTCTCCAATTACATCTCCTTGGGAAACAGCGATAAAGCTATGAAAATAGACAAGTTAAAGATTGGGACACGAAACTTATGATCGCAATATAAACCTGAAAAAATGCATAATGGAATAAACGAAATGCAAAAACTAAAGATAAACTGGTAGAAGACTAAGTACTGGTGATACAGGGCTAAAAATTGCTAATGGAAGAGTAGATACCACAAAAGATTACATACTGCTTGAAGAAGACTAGATACTAACTGCAGAAAATCAGATACACACTAGATGTTGATAATGGAAGACTAGATACAGCTAATAAAATACTAGGTAACACTAGAAAAAGACCAGATACTACTGATAGAAGACTAAATACTGCTTAAAGAACTCTAGTTGTTGCTAATGGGATACTAGATACTGCTTGCAGAAGACTAGATACTCACTGGTAATTAAACACTTAGGTAGTGATGGAAAATGACCAGATATTTCTTGTCTTGTTGTAATTGGTGATATAATCAAGGTATCAAGAACAGATTTCAATGAACAAATATGTATCACGAAACGATTTTCCCAAACTAAACGGTGTTATAAATTGGTGACCTCATTTTTAGATAACTTCATAAAAATTTAGATTTGGATCATAGTATTTGCTTTTTCAACATTTTTTTCTAACGGACTATTAATTAATAATGCTTCAATACCTACTCAATTTAATGACTAGGTAGATATAATTGGACAATTCTGCTGGCAAAAGTTTAGATACTGCTAATAAAAGAGTAAATACTGCTGGAAGAAGAATACATACTGGTGGAGGAGGACTAGATATTGCTGGGGAAAGAATTGATTCTGCTGGAAAAAGACAACTAACTGTTGGTAGAAGATCTGATCCTGCTGGAAAAAGACTAGATACTACTAGAACAGGATTTAATATTGCTGGTAAAAGAACAACATCTTGGGTGTCAGTGGAATAAAATGGATAAATGTAGACCAAGTTCCAACAAAGACAGGTATGCTGTACTTTATTGGAAATAAAGATAATCATAGGCATGGTGTTGCAATTAGTGTCTCAAAATATATTATGGCGTCCTAGTGGCCCGAATGCACATCAAATTCAAAAGAATAAGGAGGAAAAAAGAAAATTTAAACGGTAAAAGTGTGAACGAAATATGGTGCGACGTTAAATTCGCCTTATTGGAATCCTCGATAGCCGTTCCAAAGAATAGCAAGAATAGATAACTAACGAAATTCTTAATCTCATGGATTAAAGAAGATGTTTCAAAGGAAAGAATGATGTTTAAAAATCTTGTTGAAAGCGATCAAAATAAAATCAAGCTCCCTAAATTTCGAAGCAATTAATGGAAGAATATGCACAAAGCTAAACGGTTCATAGAAGCTACAATGCAGAATACAGTGGCAAGGGTGCGGATAAACAATAAACTAAAAGATTCTTTTAGAGTAACACGTGGACTAAAACATGTGAACGGGCTGTATTCAATCTAATACTTGATTCATCATAAGTCAAATGGATATTGGAAGAGAAAATTTACTGAATACAACAGTATAACTGGCTGTAGATGCAAACGATGTGAACATTATGAGTCGTATGAAAGCGGGAACAGAATATGCATATTTTCAACTGAAGGGATACGCCAAAGGAACAAGATTGAAGATAATCACAAGAAAAAATAAAAGGTATTTACATAAATGAGGACACCCAGGCTCACATTAACACAGAACGTCATCAAATGGAATGGATATGGCATCACTTGTATCGCCTCGACCACAAACGACCTCGGCCTAATGAGGCAAAATCATAAATTCTTCGCACTATCTGAGGTCATTACGGCAAAATCATTGTAGGAATGATTACAAGTGCCATAACCTGGAAGAGCCATAAAGTTTAAATAAGAGATACATAACCATCGTGAAGAAGATCAACCTATAAGAAAGGAGCGTTGTTTTTTGTCCTTCCAAAAATCATTTAAATTTTAAGAATTATTTAACATATCATGCGAACTGTGAGTAGATAATATGCAGTATCAAGTTTATTATGAATTTATATAGTGTGTTCTTGGATTTTCTCATATAATTAATCAAATATTTTTGAATTTAAGTTTATATATCATCAAATTTCCATATCAGGAAGCCATGTATTAACATAACATAATTAGGCGAAGTCATAGATTTTCCATCCTAAGTTTAGTTCTAGTCGCTTGCAAGCGAGGTACTGCAGTATGGCGTATCCCTATAACCTATTTTAATTTTGAATAAATTTTTATTGTACAGCAGTTAGAAAGAATATTTTATTTGCAACCATTAAATCTTTTTGCGATAACTATTTCTTTGTGGTAGTGCAAAATTTTCATTATTCAAACTGTAGAATGTCATTCAATTTATAACTTATTGTTCCAAAATTTCAAAGAAAATTGTTAATAATTATCGTTTTGTTTTGCGACTCACAAATCGAATATGAACTAGGATTCTCCTTCAGGATTTACTCCATCATCATCGAGACTATGTATTGTACTATACATTACGGATTATACATTGGACGATTCAGCACCAGACGAATTGATTATGTGAGGTTCCAACTATATAAGTTATCCTTCAGGATTTAATGTTTAAGAACTTTGCAGGAATCTTAGTCTTGTTATGGTTCCTACCATCATCATCCAGTTAGGATTACACATTGAATGCTTCAGTAGCAGACGAATTGATCACGCATTGAAAATCATTTTTTGGCAGGTTCAATGAGGTTCCAACTATATCTATAAGTTTTCCTTCAGAATTTACTGTATAAGAACTTTGCAAGAATCTTAATCTTGTTATGGTCCCTATCATCATCATCCGGTTGGGATTGTATCATTGGAAGATTCAGTACCAGACGAATTGATCACGCATTGAAAATCATTTTTTGGCAGTTTCAGGTTCTAACTACATATTTAAGTTCTCCTTCAGGATTTACTGTTTAAGAATTTTGCAAGAATCTTAAATCTTATTTTGGTCCCGACCATCATCACCGAGTTGATTATACATTAGAAGATTCAGTACTAGACGAATTGATCACGAATCATCTTTTGGCAGTTTCAATGAGGTTCCAACTACATATTTAAGTTCTCCTTCAGAATTTAGCTTTCTATCTAAGTCTACATTTATGAGGTGTTTTAGTTATGTATGTTCTAAAAATAAATATATTTTTATTATAACCACATAATTTCATTTATCGGGCATCTATTAATAGAGGCACGATAGAAAGTGCTTAATCGTCACGTAAAGTCTACGGCTAACTGAATTCGGACATCAAATGTCAGAGTGGCCCTTTACGGTGCGCTCGGTACACTTAACTAATTGCTGGGCGTCGGTGCAGCTGACCCGCCACCGCCACCGTCGCTTTCGAAATCCGACGAGCTATCAACAGCGATGTCGTCGCATAGAGAGCCCCCTTTCGCCAGCTTCGGATCCCTCCCGCCTGTCGCGACCCGACAGATGGCGCTGTCCGCCTGAAGCCGGATGTAATTAAGCAGACACCGTGGGCTACTTAACCACCTTAGTCGGCTACCGTCGAATCGAGGGGAACCGTAGTTACAGAGGTAGCCAAGGTAATGGTGACGCCCTATATCTTTCCTTTCTTCGTTTTGGGATATACGTGTTAATTGCTTCGAGATGATGTGGGAAGTTTTTTTTATAAAGATTTGATTAACAAAAGAAATTGAGGATAGTTTGGAAAAAGTGTTTCAAAACAAGTTGAAAATAGGGTCTATGATATTTCGTAACCCTTCGTCACCATCTGTCAAGGTCAGGGGTCAATACTGGACCAAAGGAGGCTGCACTAAACTGCAACGACACAGTTTAACGGTTTTCTCAGCAACAGGTTAAACGAATAAAACACAACGATGTCTTAACTGGTGCATCTTAAAAGTAAATTTTTTAAATTTATTTTATGTTATCCATACTTTTAAAATAAGCACATTGAACGGCGGCCGAATACAAAATCTCTTTAGCATCCGTAATGTTTTCATCCAATCTAACAATCTTCGAAGCCTCCTTGATGTAAAATTCCAATTCCTTTTCGGTTTGCTTGTCCGAACCTGTACTCAAGTACTTGTTAGTGAACTGAGCGAGTCGAGAAAACACCGAACTGAAAGCCTCGTCCAGATCGAATAGTTCCAACGGAGGTGGTGCTAGTTCCCGAAACGACGGCGGAAACACCTACACGAAATTGAAATTGTTACACGACACCTATTTTCTTGTTTTTTTTTCGATCGGTGTACACGAAACTCACCGCCGCTTGGAGAGACGGTAAAGGTGCCTCGAAATTCGGACTTATGACCTTCAGGAGTTGGTGTTTCACGCCCAGCTTCTCGTAGACTTTAATGGCATCGGGAACTACCGGACCAGTGCGTGTGTAACAAGTGTTTAAAGGGGGTCGGATAGAAACTTACCCAAATCCGTGTTCATGGAGTACATCTTGCGATTAAACAGCTTCATATAGTCCCCGGAAACTGTGTGTGTAATTGCTTCCGTTAAACAAAGTTTCGGACGTTCGGCCAATTCTGATGTGTCCGGCACGATGTGATAATCCCAAACCTAACCAATCCAACAAGCATATGACATCATATTTTGAATTTAATAATTTTATTTGAAACTTACATCAAGATCATCATGATCGGATAGAACAATTTTAATTAAATCATTTGTTAGGAGAAAATCAAAAATCATTTCACGAAATTTCTCATTCATTTCATGATCGATATATTTATCGGCGAACATATGACCTGAACCAATTGCTAATAATCTGCCTCCTAAAACCGTATTGATTAGAAACAAAAATATCGACTTTAATTCGAAATGGTTTAAAAATTACCTGTAGAGTGGTTATAATATAACGCTCCTAGAGGTCGATCAACAGGAAACGTAGTCGCCCCACTTGTAAATGCAACCACAGCCGGTTTGGTTACGGTTAATGTGCATCCGAAGGGATAGATCACATTCAATTTAGACTTATTTCGATTTAGGGAATTATTAATCGATACTTCCCCGATGTAACACTCTTTAGGGTGAAAATATTTGTAATAATGTGTTCTAATAACTGTATCTATATTTAATGGAGATTAATTAAACATGGTTTTAAGTAATTTTTATTTACTTTACCTAAATTTGGAATTATTCCATATTCTTCTAACAAAATATTTATGTTACTTATATCACTTTGATTACTTTCCGATAAGAGTACTAAAACTCTTCCTCCTTCGTTTATAAAGGTTTTTAATGAGTTTAATTCACTTTCATCAAACGGATTTTGTGGTCCAGGTAAAATTATTAAGTTTGCATTTTTAAGGAGTTGAGAAGATACTTCTTCTTTATTTCTAAAAAGAAGAGGAAAATCAGTAAATTTTTACGAGGGTTGTGATTATGGGTATAAGTGATTCAGAAAAAGCATAATATTGAGGATAGAGAAAACAGCTTAATTCTAAGGAAAACATTACGCGATCATATTAAGAGTGGATCAAAGGTCAGAAAGTTTGGTTGCAATCTATATCTTAGTACGGAAATGGAGGACGATAACAAAGATGGATCGATAACAAGAAAGTTTTTGCATATTGCTGCGTTTAATTTTTGTGTGATGAACAATTTGATATATCAAAGTTGCCAGAAAGTATCTGCGATTATTCTTGCAACGTCATCCGGAGATAAGTGCAAGAAAAGTCTATTAAATGAGACTATCAACTGTTTTAGCAAGGACATGTATAAAAAAGTACACCACAGCATGCAGAAATGGTAACAATTGTTGCATGCGGCAATTATATGTATATTGGCATTGGTACAGGTATTTCACTTATGGTGATCTTCAATGGCCAGAATTTGACGCAAGAAACTGTCATGATCGGTAGGTGCTGTATGACAACGGATATTTTCATCAAATACCTTAACCACTATACCAGACACAAAGTAGCCGGAGAAGTGGTGCTACTATTTGATGGAGCATCATCTCATCTGGATGCAAACACTGCAAGTGCTGCGTACTGTATTCAATTCTGCACTACTGTGTTCAATTTTGGTCTGATAAATAATTCGATATGTCAAAGCGATCTGCAGGCAGAAAGTATCTGCAATTATTATTGCAACGTCATCCGGAGGTAAGTGCAAGAAAAGCCTATTAATGAGACTATCAACTGTTTTAGCAAGGATATGTGTATAAAAGTGCATCTGTTGCACCTGGGCATGCAGAAAATGTAACAATTGTTGTATGCATCATCTTAACCACTTTGACCTATACAAAGTAGCCGCAGAAGTGGTGCCGATATACAACCCATGTATTACTTGTATTACAAATGGTCATTTGAAAATTGTTGTTCTGTGATAGGAACAAAACCTGCAATTTGAGGAAGGGTGATTACCGTTGACATTACCGTGGGCAGCAAATAACATAGAGAGTGGCTTTAGGCCTACTGGGACCCAGTCGTTCGACCCTCACATTATTCCTGACGATACTTTTGTCTTATACAAAGGATGATAAAACACGGCATTCACGAAAAACACATAATTCTCATGCACAAGAGATTCCAAAATCAACTCACAGCAGTTTTAATCACAATGGCAACGGACTAACGTTTGATCACACCAAAACGAAAACACCTACAGATTTTTAGACGTAAGGCACTGAACTATACGGCAAAAGGGGAATCGGGTTTACTCTGTAGAGATTCGCAGCATCTCAAAAAAGTTTCGGCAAAGAAAACGAAGAAAATGAAAGAATTTGATCCCCAACTAAGCACAAACACAGACACGGCTACGGATTGTTGAATCTAAACATAAATGTTTTGTAACGCTTCTGTCCGCATACTATTAATGAAAATTTCTTTTTTCTAAGGCACATTTTATACAATAGCAGAAGTTTTTATGCGGCTGAAAGTTAGCCTTTTAGCAATTTTTGAGTCATCGCCTTTATCATAACGGTCAGAAGCTCTGGACAATGAACCATTTCAGCATTTGACCTGAAATAACAGTGGAATAATAGATATAACCGTCACCTTTCAAAAAATGTCTTATCAAATGTACCTACTAAAATAATTAAAACTGTTTCATGTTTTTCAAAAGTTTGGGCAAAACTTATTATGCGCTGTCTACTATTATTTATACTATATTTATTAGTGCAACATGAGTGAATACTATCTCCAAAGAGAGCAGAATATGAGGATACGCCATTGAACTATAGCCTCCAAGCAGATTTAGAAAACATGGATGAAGAAGTTGTTGAAGGTTTAAAATGAAAAAAATTCAACATTAGTAACAGAAGATCAAGTGCCACATAGAAGTGATAATAATAGAGAGGTAAGATACTAAATCTAAGAAGACGGTTAGTTTTAACTTTCTTTGGTATTAATCAGTTTATGGGACATCTATAAATTACCATCAATGAGACATTACTGGTCTACTAGCAAAGATTTAGAAGCTCCCTTAGTTTCCCAGACAATGTCAAAATATCGGATTCAATAATTCTCGTTGGTTGAATCTTTCATTCCGATACTGTGATGTAGTACCCACATAATAAGCTATACAAATTTTGCACTGGATCTTAAAAACGACAATTTTTAACAAATATGACCTTCTGGTGAATAAGATACATTTTCAGATGTGTTGTCTCTAACTCCGCGTTGATAAACTCATCGTTATTCCTAATAGTAAGGCAATCAATAAAAGGGATCTTCATATTTTAACCTAATTATTCGTGTTGTATATTCTTATGATCTTATTCTTGCTTCAGAATTCTTTTCCGTTACTTATTATCTCTGCCACAGTACAAAACAGTAGATAGTATTTCAATTACTTCGTCTATTGTGTTGAGAAAGGAACTTCTCTGAATCTTATAAAGTTCCCAGAAAAGATCGAATTCACGTCAACAATAATAGATCCACCGCAAGAACTACTAGAAATTATTTCAAGTTGGTATTATTTTTTCAACATTTCTGATTCTTCTCACACATTTATCAACACAACCTAAATAAATCATTAATTGGTGTGTTGAAAGAATGCTCCAAGAGGACATCATCAAGCCCTGACAATTCAATTCCTCTTCTACGGTAGTAATTGTGAAGATAAAATATGCAGTCGCCAAATTCTACGTTAAATTATTGGATTAAATCTAGCTATTGGCATATTTATGTGGCGATGAAATCTAAATACTTGATGGCACTAATAATACATGAAGCAACAGAGTCAAAACGTTGAGCTTTAAGAATGCAACAGCCTCTTTCCAGAAATGATGAAACATGAAGCCCTCCTTAAGAAGTATCCCATAAAATTTGTCATTCATAGTATTAGCACAATACTACGCAATCCACAGCGAACAAGCAAGTATTAATGCAATTAGAAACTCTAAGGACCTACTTCGCGGCTTTTAGTTTTAATTTAGTTACTAAAAAAGTTGGCATTACCATGGTAACAATACAAAGTCTTTTAGTTTGAATACAGGAATGAACTGGAAGTTTGAAATGTACATCTATATTGCTTATATAGACAATATTTATATGTTTTATATTTAAAAGACCAGCTCTTGCATTAAATTTGTTTGGTTAAAAACACAATGTCAATTATAGTGACATCTATGAGAGAATAATCAAACTAGTGGATCTTCGTTTAAAAAAATCTGTTAAAGTAAGGTAAAATTAGTAAGTAAGTAATCTTAAAATTGTATTAAATAGTTAATTATTATAATTAAAAACTTACATAATAATTTTCCAAGATAACTTCACTTTTCTTTGAAATATTTTATAATTTTCCGTAAGTTTAAAGAGTTCCCCCTTGGAATTATTAAATATAATAGTATTTTTATTCTCCACCAAGTTATTTTCCTGAAATTAATTGAATAATTACAATTACAAATAAAATATTTTCAGAAATGTAAACAAACTCACCTCAACTGGTGCCATTTTTAAGATTACTGTTGTTGACAGTAAAACAGCGTTTGTATCATAGCAACGTTACGAAGCTTAATGCCGCATAAAATAGATGGAGCTGAAATCAAACATCAGGATTTGAAATCAATTAATAAATCTATGATATATTAAAATTGTATATTAATGAAGTTTGTAAGTATATATAAATTTTAAATAATACAATTAACAAATGGGAAAACAATTAAGAAGAAAAATATAGAATAAACCCGCTAACAAATAATTTACGTCAAAAAATGTTTATCAAAATTAATTTCTTGCCGTAAAATAGCATCTAAAACTGCTTCATAATGAATAATAATCGGGTGCGGATCTTGTTTTAAATATTTTGAATATTTTGTACGATTTTCTTGCTGTGATACAACAACGAAATTTTGAATGTTTTGATATTTTGGTGGACAGCGTTGCGCGGATTTTCCACCACACGCTTCAATTGATCCTGCAATAAAATAAGCGAGTAAAAAAAATAACTTAAAAAATATAGTACCTTTTAAAACGTCCAAAGCAACATTAGTTAGCAAAAGAAAAAAATAATTTTCAAAAATCTTTTTTGAACGAGAGCGATTTAAAGATTCCTTTAACGAAAAATTCCATTTAGTTTCCGCTTCAGGATCTCTGAGGATGAAGTCCCAAGGATCTAAAGCCACCAAAAAGAAGTGCTAAATCGCCGTAAATACGACTAAGATATCATACCATACCCAAGAATTGATTTGCTTTTTTGCACTCTTCTAGCCATTCAGGTGCACAAATCGGTTTTCCTTGTCCTATTGCAGTTAATAGTTTTAAAGATCTCTTTACGTTCATAGTCATTAAAACTGTACTTGAATCAACTGTATCCACAACAGATCCACCTGCAAAATATTTTAATATAGGGATGGAAGAATTTTCTTTTATTAATATTAAATAAATTAAATTTTACCCAATCTTCTAATCAGTGATTCCAATTCCGGATTTTCCATCATTGTAAAAACCACCTTAGGTTTTAATTTTCTTCTACTTCTCTAAAAATAAAAAATATATACATACTTATATGTTAAGGTAAAGTTTAATACAATAAAACATCGATATAACGGACTAATACGGGAGTATTAAACGTTATATGAAAATTTTTTAATTTGCACTTTAAACTGTTTGAATGAATAATTTTAATGCACACAAGTTTGGACAGTTATTCACACCATTCCGTTCAGCCTACCTGACTTTATATTTATACCAAGGACGGTAGAAACTAAAAGGACCGCTACATCCTGGGAATAGCTCGAAGGCCCGTTCGTGACGTCACGCATAGGTTGCTAGTTTAAGACTTAAGATCGAATTTAGCCATGCGTTTCTTAAAACGGCTAAACCCGAATGTTTCTAGTTCTAGGTTTAGTTGTACGACATCCCTGGTATTATAACCCAGGGAATGGTGATACCAGGGATGTATCTCGAGTTATCGAACCTTCGATTCATTTAGTCGAGAAGCATATTCTTTTGAGATGCATATCAGTGACGTACGTTTTTATCGTCAAAATGTTTATTGCATAGTGTAAACGTATAATTAAAAATGACGAGAGTAATGATGATGAAGTAGTGAGTTTTAGAAAAAGAGTGATAAATAGAATTTCATCGAGTTCAGATTCCAGCACTGAGGTGGATTTAACGACATGTTGGATGAACTTACTATGGACGAAGAAGAGGAACTGAATTTTGTTGATGATTCATTGGACAATATGCAATGGAACGAATTCGCTTACAGGCAACAATCATTTCCGTTCACTGGAGAAGGTGGGCTTCTGATGGATTTGCCGTCTGATATTAGCGCAATTGAAGTGGTTTCGCTATTCTTAGACGAAACAAGGATAAACCTGTTAGTTATAGAGACTAACAGATATGCAGAGCAAAAACTGCATCAAAATGCAATAGCTGATCATGCCACCATTTCTGAAAAAATTTGAAAATTTATCGGGCTGATGATTTAGATGAGTCTAGTACAGACATCGCTCGTTAAATGTTGGCCAACGGACCCTATTTACAACTTTTTATATCCGCGCAGCAGGATGTCCGGTAATCGTTTTGAAACGATAGAAGAGAATAGAACTTGCACAGACTTGAAAAAGTTTTACCTCTTCTAAACAAATTGATAGACAATTATCAAAAAGTCTTTTCATCAGGCGAAGATATTCAAGCAATACATACCGACGAAATCACATAAGTATGATATAAAACTTTTCAAACTGTGCTCCACCGAAGTTTATACATGGTCCGCGAAAATATATTCTGGACGTGATAACAACGGAAGAAAGCAAATTGGCATACCTAAAAACATTAAACTTGCAGATAAATTGCTAAACGAAGGACGAACTTCGTTTGTCGACGTTTTTTACACGTATTATGAACCTGCACTCAAAAAAGACGCATGTCGTTAGAACTATACGGTACAACAAAAAATTTATGACACGTTTTGTAATGTCGTACTCATTGAAGAGAGGTGAAATGATAGCACGAGAAGATGACAAGAGTATTGTGGTGCTAAAAGAGAAGAATGTTCGCGATGTTATCATCAAAACATGCACCTATCATGACTCCAAGCTCGAATTCTACTCATCGCGGTCGTTCTCCGAAACAGAAACCTACTGGCATGTAATAATGGAAAGACTTGATAGAAGCGATCAGCTGGTAACATATGCCACAAAAATACGGAAAAGTATCAAGTGGTATCGGAAATTATCACTACATTTTCTTTTAGGAATAAGCATAGAAAATGCTCACTTCGTTTACCAAAGAGCCACAAATAAAAAAATAGAAATAAGAAGATTTCAAGACAATAATAGGACTATGTTTACAGAAAAAGAGACTAACTACCAAACGTCAAGAAGCGAAGAAAAATGTAAAAGTAAACTAGGATCACGATACTAAGAGTGTTTTAACGAACACCATAACATAATAGAACATTTTATCCTAAATATAAATAGTATTCTTATGTTGTATATCCTATATCCTACGTAAGATTACCGATTTTCGTTTTTTGAGGAACCCTGTTTTCTTTTACTGCAGGGCAAAAACTTTTTTGGAATTTCTCGTTTATTTTTCCTGAGTTTCCTATCACGCAGCTTTTGGACTAACTGTATTAACGAAAACCAGTTGTCAGCAGTTATATTTCTATTTGTTCTAATAATTGGGTTTGCGATTTTTTTTCAGCCGGTAATCTGATACCATCGCTGTTTTTACCAGTATATGTATATGTTACAGGTCAATTGTTAGTAAGAGTTGACTCTGCCTAGGGAAAGTCGACTCTTACTAAAAGTATCAGTAGCAGTTGATTGAAAATAAATGGATCAACTTTTCCTAGGAAGAGTTAACTATGCCTGCTGTGGATTAGTAAAAGTTGATTCACAGATGCTGCTCTGTGTGCACGCTAAAACTTTTTGGAAAATGAAGTTCCTATGGATAAAACAATAGCTGTAGGGACTGTGACAACTTCACAATCACTTGGAAGTGGACAAAGATTTTTTAAATGCTTTTGCAACTCTAAATGCAAATCCATGAAGTGCATGTGTAACAATAAAGACGTGCTTTGCAACTCAAAATGTCACAAATCTTTTCCTTACTGTAATAAATGATAAACATTTCTATCTGTATGTATAGGGTGTCTCAATAAGAATGTCCGATTTAATTCAACAATAAAACACATAGTTTTTGAGCGAGTGGTCATATTTTTACTGCATTATAAAGCACACATGTTCCGATTAAGTATGAAATAAAATATCCAGTAAATGACTCCCGCGGCTCTGCACACAGATCCTTGCTCTTTTCATGAAATTTTCGATGACGTTGTTCTAACTCACTTTTGACGCATTGGATCTCGTCCTTGAGCTCGGGAATAGTCCGTGGCGTATTGGCATAGACGTGAGATTTCAAAACCCCCGAGGAAGAAGTTGCACGATCTCGGTGGCCAGTTGACATCGGAATTTCTGGCGATGATTTGGCCCGGAAATCGTTCTTCCAATAAATGGATGGTTTCACGCGCGGTGTGGCAGGTCGCGCCATCCTGCTCGAACCATATGTCTTCCAGATCCAACCGTCCAGATGAGGCCACAAGAACTCCGTTATCATGTTGCGGTACCGCAAACCGTTGACAGTTACAACGTTACCAGCCTCAGTTTCAAAAAAATACGGGCCAATCCAGTTGGCCCGTTTGATGCACTCTCCAGTTGAGAGTGCATTTGTTGCTGTTGGATCACGTGCGGATTTTCTGAGCCTCAAATTCGACAATTTTGTTTGTTAAGGAACCCGTTTAAACTAAAGTGCGTCTCATCGGTGAAGATGATTTTTTTCGAAAAATCGGCATTCACTTCATTTTGTTCCATCAACCATTGAACAAATTGATGGCGCTGTGCATAGTCTGTTGGTTTGAGCTCCTGGGTCAGCTAAACCTTGTAGGGATGAAGATGGAGGTTCTTCGTGAGGAAGAACCTCCATCAGGAGTCCATCAGTAAGTCTCCACAGGAGACTTACTGTCCATAATCGACCCAGTTTCTTCAAATTTATTGATTANAGCTCCAAGGTCAGCTAAACCTTGTAGGGATGAAGATGGAGGTTCTTCGTGAGGAAGAACATCCATCAGGAGTCCATCAGTAAGTCTCCACAGGAGACTTACTGTCCATAATCGACCCAGTTTCTTCAAATTTATTGATTACTCAACTTTCCCCATATTAGTAATAGATTTTCACAATGATAACGCGTTGTTCCTTTGTATAACGCTCCATTATTAATAATCGGAGCAATCGTACATGACAGCTGTCAAATTTCAGGGCTGCCACTTGCACAGAAAAGAAATGGCGCCAAATTTAAATCGGACACTCTTATTGAGACACCCTTCATTATAAAGGTTTTGCAATTTTATTAGTTTTTTATAAACCTTTCTATCTCTTTATGTATTAATAAAGGTTTTGTCTTTTTATGTGTTTTTTATTAGCTAGTAGACTCTTTCCTTGTATAAAGTCAACTTTTAGTCAACTCTAGTGAACTCTGACTAGTAAATTTTGATCAAAATTCAACACTTTTCGCATTTAATCAACTTTTACTGAAAAGACCAGTAAGAGTCGACTTTACCTAGCCAGAGTCAAATTTTACTGCAGAATCGACTTTCCCTGTAACATATATACATATATCCGTTCAACGCATATTGAGTTCTTGCATCGACTAGTAAAACAAATTTTATGCCATATTTATTGGGCTTGTTTGGCATATACATTTTGAATTTGCATTTTCCTCTAAACGCAAGAAGCATTTCATCAACGCATGTATCCACACCAACTGTATATTTTTTTTACTATTTTCAAAGAATTTATTAAAACTGTAACTGATAACAGCAGCAGAATCAGATCTACATCGGTAGATTCTCTCTTCTGGATTGTCAAATCGTAAATTGGCCAATAATACAGAAAATCTGTCTTTACTCATAACTGCTCGAAAAATATTTCTACCTGTTCCATCAGTAGCGATTTGATTTGAAAGGAGCTGTGAAAAATAGCAATCCGATGAACGCTTTTAGCTCCATCATATTCATGTCCAGTAATTCTATTTTACTTTCCGCTTTATAGTTATAACGACATTTTTGTAATTGAACGTTCGTCCATTTCATTATTTCTGATTTCTATAGAACGTACCACATTTTTTCAAGTGTGGGAGATGTAATTTATTTTATTTGCATCACCTCGAAGACCGGGAAGATTGATGACAATATTGTGTTTGCGGGTCCTTACGTTTTTAGATAACAGANCCACATTTTTTCAGGTGTAGGAGATATAATTTTATTTGCATCACCTCGAAAACCGGGAAGGTTGATGACAATATTGTGTTTGCGGGTCCTTACGTTTTTAGATAACAGAAGCTCCATTTTCCATTGCAATCTATTTCGCCCGTAAAAACATTCCACCGATTCTTCGTGATCCTCCATTTTGTCGTCAGACATAGAAATATTGGAATTTGAATCGTGGTCGCTGTTTATTATATCTTAGTTACTATCACTTACATCACTATCATTTATCTCATTATACCACTGTAAAAGCATTTTTTTCAAACTTCGCGTCTAATACACTAACTCGTTGTTTGGATGAGCCTGCTTTATTAACCATTGTGGCCAAGTAAGCAGCTATATTCGTACTGACGTAAAGACTAGCAGACTCTGACTAAGCCGCATTCGACAATCCGGGGATTTTTTTTAAGTACTTTTCAATAAATAACAAAAAGAGGTATATTTACGAAGGTATATAGAAGGACACGTAAAAAACGAACTGTAGGACTGGAAATTCCCAATTAAAACTAGAACTACCGTCCTTGGCTTATACATCATATAGACAACTTCGGGAATACCCCGAATTTATCTATAAACATGGAATAGAGCAACTTGAGGAACAACCCGAGATTTAACGTTTATATTTAAATATACTGATCTATCAAATAGATTATATTAATAGTATGACTTAAAAATATTTTGTCCGTTATATCGAGGTTTTACTATAATTTAAATTTTACCTCTGGCGTTTGCAAAGCACCACTTAAATTAACAACATCACTCGTATTAGAAGATGGACTCAAATCTCTCTTGGAAACATCTAGTTTGGACCTTTTAACGCTTACTTTAACGATAAAATCATCCTCACTCGTACTACTACGTCTTCGTTGTTTCTGTCTTGTTTTTATATTTTCATCTTCTTTAACAACAGCAGCACGTTTCGATGTTCTAGTTGATTTCATTTCATTTACATTTTTCGATAAATCAGTAAGATCGACTACTTCAGCTTTGACGATAGAATTATCAGTTGAATCTGAGTATTCCGGCAATTCATCGATCAAACTCAATTCACCATCATTTTTGTGTTTCCTCAATTTCGCTTTATTAGTATTTATCGTATTAGCTTTTCTTTTACTTCTTTGAGTTTCATTCGACGGATCGGAATTATCGCCAAACGGCACATTCGGTTCTTCACCAGATAAATTAATCGTTTTATTTGAAGATTGTTTAATTATTGAATCCCCAATAGTTTTATCAATCGGTTGCGGAAGAGGATTTGGACTTTTTTTCGTACGATGGCTTCTTTTTGATGGAATTTTTTGATCGCTTTCCTGTTTATCCGTGTTACGATGTTCTTTATGTTCGTGTTCAGTTTTATTCGTGTTATTATTTTCGGTTTTGTTGTGTTTGTTTTCTTTTAAATCGTCGGGTTCTAAGCGCGAAGAATTTTTTTTTTTAATTTTGTGGATGTCCGTTTTAATATCTTCCTCGGGAGTACCTCCAACAGATTTATTACGCAATCGAGATTTTCGTTTCGGTAGATCTTCGTGTTCTATTTCCGTAATTTTTTCAGGTTTTAATTCTTTAACTTTACCAGATTTTTTTGGATCAATCGGAGATGGGCATTTTTCGTGGGCTGGTGGCGAATCGGGAGTTATTTTAGATTTTTTTTGTTTTAAAATATCTATTTCTGGATTGTTACTTTGCGGGGCTACTTTTATTTTATGGATGTATTCAGATTTTTTGGCAACAGAATCTATTGGGGGTTTTTCGATAGAACTCGATAATTCTGGCTGTTCTAAATGAATAGGTTTAATTTTGGAATGAGTTGATACGTTTTTTTCTTTTGATGTTCCCGCTTCATTTTGAATTTTATGAGCGTGTCTTCTTGCCTTTTCTTTTTCAATTTTACTCGCTTGTAAAATTTCCAATAATTCATCCTCATTTTTCGATTTTTTCCGACTAGTCTTTCTTTTTTCCCGAACTTTATTAATATCTTCATCATTATCTTTATTCTTTTCAGATTTCTTTCCACTCTTTATCCTTTGTTTAACGTCACTAATTTCAGCAGGTTTTGATTTAGACTCTTCATCTTCTTTTTCTTGTTTAATTTCATCATTATGTTTAAGTGGCATAATCATTTCATTTTGCGATTGAAGATTCTCTAATATATTAGCCAAAGGATTTTGAGGTCGACAATCACTTTTGGTGTTTGGCAACTGACTTGCAAACAATATTTCCATTTGACTTTCAACGCTATTTCTATTTATATCATTTAAATCATCTTTTATTGGCTGACTTTGAAACATTTTCTCCATCGATTCTTCTACAGTATCCACAGTTTTAGAACACCTCGCTTCATAAAGATCATCCCTAATTTGAATGACAGGAAATTTACAAATTTCTAGTTTAGAAGTTCGTTGTAACGCATTGTTGGCTACAACTGGTTGAGTTACTTTTGAAAATATATCGTCATCATTCTCATTTTTTTTATTCAATTTTTCTATATCAACATATACTTTCTTTAAGTCATTTGGATTATTATCATTAATTAAAACTGGTTGAGTTGCTTCTAAAAATATATCATCATCATCTGTATTAGAAACATTCTTCGCCACTAATTGTGTGGGCTGTATAAATATATCATCTTCATCGTCATCAATTTTATTCAATTTTTTTGTTCCATCCTGTTTCTTTATGTCATTTGGAACACAATGATTTGGATTATTATCATTTATTAAAACTGGTTGAGTCGCTACTAAAAATATATCATCATCATCATCAACAACAACATTTCGAGTTTTTTTTGAACTCCCCAGATTTCTTGGAATTTTCGGTTCCAAAAATACATTTTTATCATTATTCACTTTAATCATCTCCAAACTTTCTTTTGTTACCAATTGAGTTGGCTCTAAAAAGATATCATCATCATCTTTAGATGTATTTGACTGGTCAGAAACTATTTCTTGAGTTGGTTCTGAATAAATATCTGTATCCACAGATTTAGATGAATTAACTGCTATCACAAGTTGAGTTGGTTCCAAAAATATATCATCAGTATCTTTAGATGTATTTGATTGATCTGAAACTATTTCTTGAGTGGGTTCTGAATAAACATCTTTATCCCGAGATGTAGAAGGATGAAGAACTAACACAGGTTGAGTTGGTTCTAAAAAGATTTCATCATTATCTTTGGATTTATTGGGTTGATCAGAACTTATATCTTGCATTGCCTCTGATTGAACATCCTCAGATGTACATGAATTAACTGTTATTAGAGGTTGAGTTGGTTCTAAAAAGATCTCATCATCTTTAGATTTATTGACTTGATCAGAGCTTATATCTTGCATTCCCTTTGAATAAACATCCTCAGATGCAGATGAATTAACTGCTGATACAGGTTGAGTTGGTTTTAAAAAGATGTCATCATCATCTTTGGATTTATTGGGTTGATCAGAACTTATATCTCGCGTTGCCTCTGAATGAACATCCTCAGATGCAGATGAATTAACTGCTGTTACAAGTTGAGTTGGTTCTAAAAAGATTTCATCATCATCTTTAGATTTATTGGGTTGATCAGAACTTATATCTCGCGTTGCCTCTGAATGAACATCCTCAGATGCAGATGAATTAACTGCTGTTACAGGTTGAGTTGGTTCTAAAAAGGTTTCATCATCATCTTTAGATTTATTGGGTTTATCAGAACTTATATCTCGCGTTGCCTCTGAACGAACATCGTCCAATGTAGATGAATTAGCTGTTGTTAGAGGTTGAGTTGGTTCTAAGAAGATCTCATCAGCTGTAGATATATTAGGTTTATCAGAACTTATATCTCGCGTTGCCTCTGAACGAACATCCTCCAATGTAGACGAATTAGCTATTATTAGAGGTTGAGTTGGTTCTAAAACGATCTCATCATCTTTAGATTTATTAGGTTGATCAGAACTTATATCTCTCATTGCCTCTGAACGAACATCTCCAAATGTAGATGGATTAGCTGTTATTAGAGGTTGAGTTGGTTCTAAGAAGATCTCATCATCTTTAGATTTATTGGGTTGATCAGAACTTATATTTCGTGTTGCCTCTGAATGAACATCCTCCAATGTAGATGAATTAGCTGTTATTAGAGGTTGAATTGGTTCTAAAACGATCTCATCATCTTTAGATTTATTAGTTTGATCAGAACTTATATCAGGCATTGCCTCAGAACAAATATCTTCAGGTGTACATGAATTAACTGTTGTTGCAGGTTGAGTTGGTTCTAAAAAGATTTCATCATCACCTTTAGTTTTGTTGGGTTGATCAGAATCGATTAATTCTTGAGTTGGATTTGGAATATCTTTATCAGGTTTTGAAGGTTCTAAATTTTCAATATCATTCTTTTTATTTTGGGAGTTTTCAAGAATTATTAGTTGAGCTGGATCTTTTTGATTGCCTTTATCGTCAATAATATCGTCTTTGGATTCATCACCTTTCATTTGAACATCTAAATCTTCAGCTGGCATTAAAATACTATCTTCAACAAGATCAGTTTGATTCAATAAACCTTCATTATTTTCTTGAATTGTTGGTAATTTATCCGACATATTTTTTGTAACCTCAATTGTAAAACTTTCTGTTAACATTAAATCTAGCGAGAAGTCAATAGACGTTTGTGAATTTGATTCTTTACTTTTATTAGAACTTTGACTTAATTTAGTATTTTTTTGAAAACTTGATAATGAATTTACAAAGCAATTTTGACTTGCTGGAACAAAATCTGATTCATCTAATTGATTATTGTTCACTTTTTCGCCGTATTCCATGTCTGTTTCACTACCACTACAAGGTTTTTGATCATCTTTTTTATGAGACTGTTTCTTAACCAATTTTTTCTTTCTCTTATTCTTATTTTTATCAATTTTTAAATCTAAATCGGTTTCATCTGATGATTCACTGCGTTCTTTCAACAATTTCTGTTGTGTAACATCAATATCAGTTTCATCAGATGATTCTGAATCTGAATTGATAACATTTCTTACTTTTCTCTTTAACAAATCAACTCTTAAAGAACAAGGATGATTATCTGCAGAACTAGCAGGCGTTACATGTGTTTCATCATTTTCATCATATTCATTATCAGATGTGACAACGTTTTTAATTTTGCGTTTTAAAAATGTTGTTTGCAAAGGTTCTTGGGAACTTTCTATACTCAAACCTACAGCAGTTAACGACGAATCTGGTGGATTTGGGGTCTTATCATTAACATCATTTGCTGCAATGTCATCAAATAATTCAGTCACTGGGATAACATTTAAGAAATCTTCTGAACAATTACTATTCGCATCATCTCCATCATCATTTTGAATGGTTTCATTTACAACAGTATCGTCAATAACACTTAACTCATTAGGGGCTGTTTGTTCGCGCGTCTCTTCATCCAAAGATGTTTTTGGTTGTTCTTTGTCTTTGTCATCGCCTTGACCTAATCCTTTTTCTTGTATAATGTTAGGGCAGAGACTTTGAGTTGGCTCTTTTGTAAAAAAATCCTCATCCCAAGATTTATCAGGAATATCTTTCAGCTCTTCATTAATCTGCTGCAATAAACCATCAGAGAATTGTATGTTATTATCTTTCTAAAATATAAAACACGGTATAAAGTATAATTCAAAATAAATTATCAAAGCTATTATCTCAAAAACAACCTTAAACCTTGCTTAATTTTTAAATACCTTTGATTCATCTGGCACGAAAACAATTTGTGTTGGCATATCATAAATAGAAGCATGCTGTTGACTTATTTCTGTACACCTTTCTGTTTTTGATGTATCCGGAATTTTGAATTCAACATTTAAATTTGGAGTTACATCAAGATCGTTATCATCTATTAATTGTGTAGGTAACTCATGAATTGTAGGTACATCAATATTATTCACTCCAGTAGTTTCTAACTCAACATTTGTGTTTATGGATATTGTTTCATTATCAGGAATCATTTGTGTGGGGATATCAAAAACGCTGTCATTTACTTGTGAATACTGAGAGTCATCTTGTGAATTCGATTTATGTAGCAACTACGAAAATAATAATTAATTAATTATACAGGATGTCTCACGTAACTGATTCGTTAGAACTTTTTCAGGTTCCACTATTCGTAGAGATTTGAAATTTTGGTAGCCTGGGGAAATTTTGGGTTGTTCATTCGGAACTTTCAAGATGGCCGCCACTACCGGAACTAGGCCATAACTTCGTTATTTTAAATGGAATTAGTAGTTTTTATTACACCATTTAATTGTACGTAAAAAAATAGGTTGACTTTTTTTTCTATATTATGCATAGCACAATTGTATAACACCTAGTAAATACATACTAGTTAGTTACTTATTTTTAACACCAAATTAAACTAGATAATGTTTCGCAGCTTTTTCCAGTGGTCCAGTCTGTTTTACCCAAAATATAGATATTGCCATATTTTTACCGTTTTCAGACCAAAACACAAAAACGCGCACACTGCGATACGCGGAACACACGTTTCAACTTGTTTCTTAGTGATAGCGTTGATTTTCTGCCAATAAGCCAACATAGGTGTCTAAATTTGATATCAAGTTCCTCACGTTTTTTTTTTGACGTGAGCTTTCCATTTAACTTTGGCCTCTAGCGGCATACCAAGATATTTTGCGGTGTCAGCGTAAAGGACTGCATTGCCATTTATGTGTACTGGGACATACTTTACTTTGTTATAAGTAAAGTTTATGTATGTCGATTTATTTGTATTTAGTTTTATTGGCCATTGTTTGGTCCAGTTTTTTATTGAATTTACGGCCAATTGTAACTTATTTGCTACAACTACTTCATTTTCTGCAACAGCCAAGATCGCTGTGTCATCTGCAAATGTAGCTGTTAAAGTTTCTGGTACCTGAGGAAGGTCGAATGTGTAGAGTAAGTAGTCTTCGTATTTCATGTAGTGGTGAATAAGCGTTTTTGTATTTTACTTTAAAATATCGATCAGAAAGATACGATTTTAATAGTTGACTATACGTTGATGGTAGTATTTGATCTAGTTTATAATTTAAACCATCTAACCAAATTTTGTCGAAAGCTTGTGCAACATCCAAAAATACGACGGAGCAGACTTTATTTTCTTCCATTGCTATTTCGATAGTATTCGTTATTCTATGCACTTGGTCTATTGTTACATGTTTATTCCGAAACCCAAATTGATGTGTTGCTATAAGGGCTTTTTCTTCTATGACAGGTTTTAATCTTTTTAATAGTAATTTTTCAAGCAGTTTTGATAGTAAGGGTAATAATGAGATTGGCCTATATAATGTAACATCTGTGGGGGGTTTACCAAGTTTTGGATTATTTCAGCAATTTTCCATATGCTTGGGAAGTATTTCTGTTTAAAAGCAGCATTATTTATGTGTAATAGTTTTGTAATCGCCTGGATTGGTAGATGTTTTAATGTTTCTTCATTAATTAGGTCATAGCTTACTGAGTTCTTTATATTTAGTTTTTGTATTTCATAATACAGTTCTTTCATTCTTACACATGGTATATTACTCTGCTGATCACTTTGAATTACGCTATTGACACTATTTAGCATAGTTGTTGGACTGTCTGATGTAAAAGTTTCTTTCAGATGTCCATCAAACAAATTAACTTTTTCTTGATTACTCTTAGCCCAATTTCCATTATTATTTCGAATTGGAGGTGTGTGTTTTTGGAACTTTAAGCTTTCTTGTTGCCTTCCACAGAGAATAATCAGTACTGGCATCGTCAGTAAGGTCTTTTAAATAATTTTGAATATTATTTTCTTTGTGGATATCTGTTAATGCTCTTAAATGCGGCTGTTATTTTATTTAATTTAATTTTATCACTAGGAATTCTATTGTTTTGCTATTTCTTTTTTGCTTTCCGTTTTTCAGCAATTTTGTCTCTAATGAATTCAGGCTGCGGTTTGTATGTCTTTTAAGAACTTTTCTACTTCATCGTCGTTTGTTTCCATAAGAGCATTAAGATGTATTTTATTATCTAATGTTTGTTGAAATACATTCCAATTAGTGAGTTTATTAGTTAGTGATAAAAAGGGTTCTTCGTTACATACTTTGTTATTTAGAGTAATAATTACTGGTGAGTGATCTGAGTCCAGCCCTAACTCTTCTTCTATGTTTAGGAAGTTAAGCGATATATTTTTCGTAATAAAAAAATCAAGCTGGTCCGAAATTTTACTTCTATCTGTTGGCCAGTAAGTCGGCTTCCCTGTGGAGAGCACCTCATGGTTCAGTTCTCTTCCTTTTGTATTTGTCAAGCGAGAACCCCAAGACATATGTTTTGCATTAAACTTTCCTCCAAGTATAAATTTGTTGTCAAGATGTAGTAGAACTTCCTGATA